ACAACTATAGCTGGCTTTACTCCTGAGTGGTGAAATTGATGAACATACTTAAAAGCACATCATTTAAGACTTTGAATTTTGACATTTCCTCCTCTTCACAGTCTTTCAAATACTAGGCAACCTGTAGGGTTCCACTGTCTCTGTCATGTGTTGTCCCTGTGTTACATGAAAGCAGCCCCAGTGAACTTGTGAATTTGCTCAGTCATTTCACTGGCTACTGGGTGAGGAAGAAGTAGGATTTTCTCTCTTAAAATTCCTTGGTGAAATCGTTGGATGGGCATGGTGTGTTTCTTTAATTTTCCTTTTGGTCAAAAATCTGACAGCAAAGACTTTCAGTGGGTCTTGGTCTTTCAATAGATTTAGTTTTTAAGTGTGTTTACTCTGACCGAAAACTGCCTTCCTGTAATATGCTCTTTCCTTTAGAACACAGTTCTTAAGTAGAGTTTGTTTAAATGTATAACATAAGTTAATCCTTTTATATGCAATGAGGTTTTGCATCAGAACCCTGAGTTCTCAATGTTGTGGCAGGTTTAAGTGTCTAGAACACCTTTTACCTGTTTTGTCTGTTACTTGCTTTTGTATTTTGGGGGTAAATGATATCTTTCTCAGGGTGGCCTTCCCTCAGCACCATGTTTAGAATGGCATCTCCCTCATTTGCTATTCCTTCTTCTGTTTTATTTTTCTCTATAGAATTTGTTACTGTGTGAAAACTATTTATTTTAATGTTTTGTTTACCTGTGTTACCCCTAGAATAATATCTATGAAGGTAGGGATTTTTGTCTGTTCCTTCTGTACCTACAGAATTTTGAGGAGTATGGTGTCTGGCACATTGTGGGTGCACAATGACAGCTGAATTAACAACTTCAGGGAGAGTTTGTAGGATGGGGACTCGAGATGTAGGGCAAGTCAGTTTTTAGATTTTGAGGTCATTAGCAGGAGAGCCTTTTATGATACGGGGGGAAATACATGTTTTAACATCAGACTGGGTTTGAATCTGGTCTCTCCAACTTACCCTTTGACCTTGGTGTTAAATGATTTAACCTTTGAAAGATCAGTTTTTTTCACTAGTGAAATAGGGGAAATAGTATCTTTTTAATGGGGATTAAGTGTAATATCAAATATAATGCTCTGTAAATGTTAGTTTTGTCCTTCCCCTTGTGTGTCAGCATTGTGGAAGTAGTCTAAAAGCAACCTGAATTTACCAGTCTGTTTCTGGAGCCTTCTGGGGTCATTACTTTGATTACTTTTGACAGATGCATTCTTTTGAACAGCCTGTGTTGCCAGCATAACAATGACCTGTCCCTTTGACCAGTGTAGGGGCCAGACACTTTGTCATCCCTCTTTTAATCCATGTATCAGAATGACTCTTATGAGTTCTGGCTTTGAAAAATGTTTAGAAGAGTTTATAATTCCAAACAGTTCAGATGACATCAGCCCTTTCTTAAGAGTCCTCTGAGTTTGCTCAGCTTCCTCATTCCAGTGTGGTGGGAACCATTCAGTTAAATTGATGTTTGTCGTCTTTCCACATAGTCATCTTAAGTTTCTTGCAAATCACGAAACATCAGAGGGCTGCTAAGTCACTAGTTTGTCTCTGTAGATTTCTCTAATCCAAGCTTGT